ACACTACATCTTTACAATTTTTTCGTCTCAAGATACAATTATTTTGCTATTTCATAGTTTTGTACAATTGTTACTGGGTGATTGAAGCTCCTACTCTCACATCTTCACTCTCAAGAGTACAGAGGATAACAGGATTGTTTTTCGATTTATTGGATTTATTTCGACCATCAAAGTTATCTATCGATAGCGTAGAATGTAATTTGACTGTGTCAAAAAAAATAGAGAAAGTCCAGAAGTGTTAGACGTCACTCACAGCTGATACGACACTCTTGAGTAAATGTTCTTGCCTTCACCATCACTTTAATACCTGTCCTGTACGTAATACTTTCTGTTGGATAACTAAATATATAGCAGAATTTGTTAGGTAGTGGTATATATTCGTCACTCTACTACCTTGATTGTTCTCTTTCTTTTCTATATCTATATATGATTCTTCTACTTGGATTATTCGTTTAGTTCTCTTCGATGGATTTTTCCTTTTGTTTCTTTCGTATATGTAATTGTGATTTAGTTTTCAATAACGAGGAGAAGAAGAGGAAGAAGAAATATGAGAGTTAAAATTAACAGAATTTTATAGAAAAATCCCGATCAATCCTAAAAAAATAAATTATGGTAGTTGTTCAAGAGTAGAGAAGTCTTTTATTTGTTGAAATTGTTGTTTTCATTGTTCAAAGATGTTATTTTATTGAATAAAAGTCGAGTTTGAAATTTTTGAAAAATCATGAGTTATACCAAACAAGATTCAAAATTCATCATCAAAAATTACCATTAGAAAAATATCTTGTGTTCTTTTCGTTTTGTAGAAAAATAAAACAATTTTTTTGTTTTTATTTATAGATTCTATTCAACATCAAGCGATGCTTTAGCTTTTCATGAAGTTTATAATATATTATTAACATTAAAATATATAGATAATAATTGGATAAAAACAATTCATTATGTTCTAAAAAGAAAAGTTGCTACTCGAGTAGAAAAAGTAACAAAGAAAGAAGAAGATTCTTTTTATTTTGGCAAGTCAACACGATTGTTTTAGTTTTAGTAGATAACAAGGAATCAGAAGAATAATGAACCAAATAAATAATAATAAATTTTTGTGTTTTTGTATTTTTTTATTATTTTTTTTTTAACTATTTTTATTATATTGATAATCAAGTGAGAAAGAAAAAATAAGAAGAAGAAAAGAAGAAGGAAAGAACAAAACAAAATGAAGAGAAATAGTAAGAATAGTAATATATAAAATAACGCTAGGCCTTTCGAATTAGTTCCTTTATCAAGCGAGTATTTTTATGCAGTTTGAGATATTCTTATGTAGTTCAACGTATTTTTTTATAATTCAATACAGTTTAATGTAGTTCAAGGTATTTTAATGCAGTTTTTTAGATGCTTTAAGGTAGTTCGACGTATTTTTTTATAATTTAATGCAGCTTAAGATGTTTTCATGCAGTTTAAGATATTCTAATGCAGTTCAACGTATTTTTTATAATTTAATGCAGCTTAAGATGTTTTAATGCAGCTTAAGATGTTTTAATGCTGTTTAAGACAGTTTTAGTGCAGTTCGATGTATTTCTATATAATCTAGTGCAATTTTAAGATATTCTAATGCGGTTCAACGTATTTTTGTATAATTTGATGTAGTTTAATATGTTTTCATGCAGTTTGAGATATTTTAATGCAGTTTAAGATGTTTTAATGCAGTTTAAGACATTTTAATGCAGTTTAAGATATTTTAATGCAGTTCAACGTGTTTTTTATAGTTTAATGCAGCTTAACGTATTTTCATATAATTTGATGCGTTTTTATCTTTTGTGTCTTTTTATGGTTTTTTTTGCATTATAATGCATTATCAGGTATTTTTCTTTTTTTAATGTTTTAATACATTTTAATGTATTTTTATGTAGGTTCACATGGTTTATTATAATGTGGGTAGAGTGAGGTGGTTTTACCAACAATGAGGTTAGAGATAGATGATTTCATAAGTGTTGCGGTTGGAAACAGATGATTTCACGAACGACAGGTGAAGATAGAGAGAGAGACAAGTGATCAAGCTATTTGAAAGAGGAAACAGGGAAGAGAAGCGAGAAAAAGAAGGAAGAGAACGAATGAGGACACAGTGAAAGTGGGTCGCAAGGTTTTTTTAAAGGAAGAACGGATGAAAAAGAAAAAAAGAAAAAAAGAAAAAACAGAGCAAAAACACAAACAAAACAAAAGGCAGATACAGAGCAGCAGTGGTGTAGGGGAATCAAAAGTGTAACAGTAGTCGAGCAGTGACAGCGTTTTTTTTAGTATCTATACACGTATTTTTACAGAAAGTGGGGTATGCTTTTTTACATACAGTTGCGGCACTTTTTTAGACAAAGATGAAGATAACATATATGTAGGTTAGTATTTTTGTTAGCTAGATTGTTAGTAACGTTGTTAGTAACATTTGTTTTTTTAACAATGCTTTTTTGTTGTTTCTTTTTCCTCTTTTGTAATGATGTTTTTCCTTTTTTTCTAGTGGTCTTTTCATTTTTTATATGTGATGTTTTTTATATTCTGTTCGGTTTTTTTTATGCTTTTTTATTTTTATTTTTTGATTTTGATGATGTTTGTTTATTTTTATTCTGTTTTGTGGTGCTGTTTTCTATTTTTTATTGTTTTTTATTCTGAAGATGTTGGGAGTAGTCTTATTGCCTCCTTGCTCGGCTTTTTTTGTACTAATATATCTTTAAGGTTATCGGTCAATCGGTTTGCGTATATGACTGGTATGTCGTCTAGTGGCATACCTTCGAATATCTCTTTCCATATCTGATGTAAATGTGATCCAAAGTTTATTAGAGATGGTGTATATGAAAAATGTAAGAGGATGTCTGTGCCAAAGTTTATTTTTCTTTTTTCTTTCTTGTTCCATTTTTTATCTAGTACTAGTTCTCTGAATTTCGAATGTTCATTACCTAAGAGTGCTTCTGGTGTTCTTATCCCTGTTAGGTCATGAAAGAAACGTCACATATGTTTATCTATAAATTTAGGTGGATATTTATTCAGTAGTAATGTTATCCTAATTCTTTCTAGTTCGCTCTGTAAGTCTTCAGGGTGTGAACATATACGAGTCGCCCGTAATGTTGCTGCGTATGGTATGTTTCTTGTTATATACGGGGGGGGGGGGTGCGATGAATGGAACGGTAACACATATGGCTGGGCTGCTAATTTTCGGAAAACAGTTGTTCTAAAGTTTGGTATCTCTATAGCAGCTTTAACATCTAGATATTCTATTGTTTTTTCTCCTTCCCATGTTATATTTATATTGGGGTCTTTTTTATTCAATTCTTGCAAAAGTTTTTCTATTTGTTCTGGTGATTGTTTAGTAGTAAAAAAGATGTCGTCACGGAATCGAAAATATAGGTCACGTTGTCTATGTTGTTCGTGTACAAAGTTACTTTCCCATTTTCGGATATAAATATCAGCCAATACCTGGGTGCATGCTGACCCCATTGCCCCTCCTTTGATCTGTTGGTAATATTTTGGTTGTAATCCTGGCAGTTGAAGGGCGAAATACGAGTTCTCCAAAACGTGCAACAATAAATCTCTTATGGTATTAATTGATAGTCCACAGACTTTCTTGTATCCATACCTTCCCAGAAACTCACACACTGCTAATACTGACTCTCTCTGTGGAATCATAGTGTATAGATCTGTAATGTCGCATGTATACATATTCGTTTCATTTGCTGTTTTAAATTCCTTTAAACGTTTTAGAAAAATCATCGAGTCTGAAATTGAGTATGGGGTGTGTCTATCGAAAAGAGGTCGAATGTTTTGATCAAGGAAGCTTGATAGCTTAGCTAGGGGGGACTTCATTCCACTGACAATGGGTCTGAGTGGCTCTCCAATTTTATGGTCTTTAGGATTGTAATAGAGATGGGGTAATTCTGATTCTGTTAGAGAGGGTCTTAATTTTTCTAGTAGTGCTTGAGGTATTCGTTTTCTTGAAACTAAATTACGTAGAAGTTTATCTGTTTTTTCTATCATTTCTCTTAGTGGTGACGATGATATTTCTACATATGCATTCGTTTTATCCATGTATATTGTCGATTTTTTAATATAATTTTCTTTTGTATCAGTATGAAAGACTTTTGACTTATCTGTTTGTCTAAAGATGATGTTGTTTTTCTTTTGAATTTTTCGAAAGAATGTTATAGCTGGTTTTAAGGTGGGATCTTTTGGTGCTTCGGTTGTTATTTTTTTCCTTATTTCTTCTTCGATTCGTTCACAAAATTTAGTTACTATCGGTGGTTCACGTGCTATAGTTTTTGTCATTCTTCTCCAGGCTGCTGCAACTTTTTCTTTCATATTTTCTATTTCTTTTGGAAGACGTTCTAAAACTTGTTCTGGTGCTGGGGGGACAAATTTTGGTCCTAAGTTAAGGACTTTAGCTTCTGTATCTTGTAGTATATAGGCTTTATTATTTGCCTGTGGGGGAAAATTAATTCGAGTGTAGTGTGGATGTAACTTTGCTTTTGAATATTTCGGATGACTATGTGCTAGGGCGTGCATTAGTTTTCGTTGATTATGCACGCCCTTTTCGCTAAAAAATTCAGTTTCTTTTTTGCAAATTGATTATGTCTTGTTTGTGATACCTGGCATATAATGTTATATGGTTCTCGAGCCTGATCTAAAAGTTTTTGTATTAGTTCTTCATATTCTTTCTTTGCCTGTTCTAATTCAACTACTTTAGCCTGTCTCATCAATGTAGTCAAGTCTAATTTTGTTTTCCGAAGGACATTTTTCCATTGTTCACGTAGTGAAGTCAAAGATTTGTCATCTGATTTTAGTCCTTTTGCATGTAATTGTAATTTATCAAATATATTTAAAGATGGTGGTGGCATATTCTCTGTGAATCTCATTTCTAGTTTGTCAAGTTGTAATTTCAAATCGAGTGTTCTCGTAAATTTTTCATGTAATGCCTGTATGCATTGTTGTTCAGACTCTGTTGCTATATCATTAATTTCTCGTATTGCTTTTTCTCTCGTTTGATTCAGCAGGAGATTATCTAATTGTTTCTGATCATTATTCTTTTTATTTTCAAGTGTTTTTTCAAGAATTTTCTTCACGAAGGAGACTACTTGTGTCCGCATTTGTTCTGGAAATGATAGATGTAACTTATTTTCTCTCTCGTTCTCTAATGTTTTGTATTTATTTTCAAGAAATTCTTGATGTGCTTTTATTGTTTCAAATGTGCATTTTTTTCTCATTTGTTTAAAATAATATTTATATTCAATAGGAATGATCGAAAATTTAAATGAACTATATGGTGTTACAGAATTTTTGGGTATAACTGATGGTGATTTTATTATTGGTTCTGGCGTAGAACTTCGGATAGGCGATATTATCATTGATGGTTCACTTTCTGGTAATACAACTATATTTGGTGTTTTTATCGTTTGTTGTTCATTTTGATTTTTTTGTTGTTCAATGGGTAAAAGTGAATTGAAAGAATGTTGTTGTTTACGACTAATCTTATTTTCTATATCAATTGAAATTGGAGATGTCTGAAGGGAGCCTCCAACTAATGGTATATTAGGATTTCTTGGTGGTAATATCTTTCTAGGGATGATTGGTGGGGGTTGTCGTGGAGATGGCGGTGTTGGTGGATCATCTCGTCGATGTCCTAATTTCCTTTTTTGACCTGGTGTCGGTTCAGATAACCATTCATCAAAGAACTCTGAAAATTCCGTTAACTCTAATGCTGCTGGTGGCCTTGCTAGACCTGTTGGTGATGGTCTAGCTACTGGTAAACTTTCGTTAACTTCTATTATGGTATCCATTGGTTCAATTTGTTTCTTTTTGTTTGCTGCAATTGTATAAACTTTCCATTTTTCAGATTCGAACTTGTAGTATTCTGTTTGATAGTGCATGTTACTCAAATTGTAAATATCTTCTTTTTTATTTTCTAATTCTATTGGTATTGTAATTTTTCGAAAAAATTCTTGTTTATGTCTCAAAAAGTGTGGATAGTGTGGAATGAGTGACTTACTTGGTAAGTCATGTAATTTTTCTTGTATATTATGTGTACTTGGTTGTTTCATTTTATTATTATTAGTAGTAGTATGATATTGATGATGATGATGATTATGATTATGATTATGATTAATATGATGATAATGATTATTATTAATATTAGTGGTAGTACACTCTAAAAAATTTTCGTATCCTAGGAAACCCAAAGGGGCTCGGAAACCTACTCGGAAACCCTTTTCCGTTTCCGAGTGGGTTTCCGAAGTTTGGAAGCGTTTCTGAAAATACCATTTGGGTTTCCGAACGTTCAGAAACCCAAGGGTTTCCGACAATACTCAATTGAACACTCTAAAAGTATTCTAGAATACCTTTTTCTTGCTTTCGGAAACCCAATAGGTTTCTCGAAAATCTGAAAGGTATTGTCGAAAACCCATATTAGTAGTAAAGCTGGATACAGAGATGGAACCGGTCCACTTTTTTTCAGACCGGTACCGGTGCGGGTCTAGAGAAAGGCAGACCGGACCGG